CCGATCTGCCGTTCCCCGGATCGCTCAGATCGATGCAGTCGTTTTTGGGTAGTCTCAATTATTACAGCCGTTTCTTGGAAGATTACGCGATCTACGCGGCGATCCTGTACGAACTGCGCGAGGTGGACTTCGCCGAGCTGAAGAAACGCCCCGATCTGCGCCGGATCCTGGATCGTCAAGTACCGAACTTAGTGGATACGGACCCAGTGAACCCCGATCGGACTCCATCCGTTCCTGAAGTCGGTGTAGCCGATGAATGCTGGATCCGTGCTCATCGTGCCTTTTCGACCCTGAAGATGAAGATCGCGACGACACCGATCCTGCGGCACTTCGATCGCGATCGGACTCCGGTCGTGATTGTGTATGCCAGTGACTGGGCGATCTCGGCCGCATTGATGCAGGAGCACGACCAGATCTATCATCCCGTTACTTTCGCCAGTCGAACGCTGAAGTCGAATGAACTGAACTACAACGTGGTGGAGAAAGAAGTGCTGGCGCTGTTACGGATCCTGGACCTGAACTATAACATGCTGGTTGGACGATCGATCCGGGTCTTGACCCGACACTCAACGTTGGCGTGGCTGTTCCGATCACCCGGCCTTCAAGGCCGATTGGGTCAGTGGGCTGCACTCCTATCGCCCTGGACACTGGAGATCACGAAGTGCACCAAGGGAGAGGACGAGATATTGGGGGCGATCGCCGCTAGTATTACGCCTCGATCGGATCTGGACGACGCGTTGATCGCGATCGCGCCGAAGAAAGAACCCCGGCGCAAGATTCAAGCCCCGATCCCGACGGTGCGTGCGGACGAAGAGCTGCTGGTGATAAGTTTCGATGGATCCGCCCGCGTCAAGCGAGGCGGGGGTGCGTGCAGTGCAATCTTGTGGAAGTTACCCGAATGGAGTGTGGTGAAGGCTCGATCGGGCTATGCCGAAGGGCTGACTGTTAACGAGGCGGAGTATCATGGTCTGTTGTTGGGTTTCGATCTCCTGGACGGCATAGATCGAGGCAGGTTAGTGGTCTGCGGTGACTCCAACCTGGTGTTCCGACAAGTACGGGGCGAGATTGACTGCAAAGCACCTAAGCTGACATTGTTGAAGCAGAAGGTGCTGGATCAGCTACGGAACTGGCCAGATCACGAGCTGTTACATGTGAAACGAGACTGGAACGGAAGTGCGGACAGCCTGGCCAGTGCAGCACTCCAACGTGAAGGGGGCGTCGTCGTCGAGGAGGATGCCGATCATGGGGATCTAGTGACACTGAACCGACTTGACGAGAT